TATCCACCTGGTGTTGATCGGAGGAACCACGGAAAATGCCGATCCGTTCGCTACCCGCCGGGAGGTGCATCGGAGAAAACTCCGCTAGCCGACATGTAGATTGGCGTCGTATCTCAGCATCCAGCCACCATCACCGCCCGAGGAATATACATGCCCTTCACTTACTGTACTAATGACCTTAGCTGTTGACACGCTCGTAACCACTAATCAATATTTTTCTCCAACGTATACGAGAAAGTAATGATCGTTGTTCTGCTTAGGTTATCGTCACTGGTGCTTTGGCGACCTCTTGAGATAATTCATATGGCACCTCCGCAGTGGCTCGAGAGGCAATGCGGATATCTATTGGCGGCATCCAGCTTCACCCGGATCCAAAGCTTCCTCGATGACGATACGCAAGATGCCATCGAAGATCCCGCGTTCATTGTACGTCCAGAACTAGACATCTTCAGGGAATGGAGATAAAGACAAGTTAGCCTAAGAAGGGACCGAATTGACAGATTCTGCCTGGTTAATGGTGACAACTGAAAGTTCTGGCTTTGTGCTGGTCGGCGACGTCAGTTGACTATTTCGTTCATTTGTTTGTTTGGAATTGGATTTGGTCTTCGAAACTTCCTGGTAACGAAAATATAGCGCGCACGAAAAATAATATAATTAGGAAGTGACATACTATGTACTCTTATTTTTTTGTATTTTTAAGATTTATGTATATTTCAAAATTTTTATATGAGGCACGTTTGTTACCAGTGTGATTCGTGACCACTAATGACGATTCGTGAAGTTTCGAACTAATTAATCACGTTTTTAAGGGAGCAATTAACGAGCAAGGAACGAGGAACCCTCCTTTGAAATAAACTTGAAGTACACTTGATTTCTAAACTGTCACTTTGGTCCTAGCTAAGAATATACTCAACCATTATATCGGGCAAAGCCGATAGCGATCTTTAAGGTTATGGAAAAGGTAGCCGTTAGCGCACCCGGAAACAAGGAATAATGAATCAATCGAATGGCCCATGCTTTTCTGATCTCCAAAAAATCATCCCTCAAGTTCGTTGGTAGGCCACGGCCGAACACCAAGTGCCGTGCAGTTAGAACTAGTGGTCCTACCGCAGCACGTACTTTCTCGCCTGTATTTTCATGCAAATTACGCGAAAAGTACTCGAATTTTCGAAGAATTGTACATGGCCGTATTTCAAAACCTATCTTTAAGAAACAGAGTTCATTAAGGAAAAACATCTTCATAATCGTGGTTGTAGAAAGACGCGGAAAAAATTTAATTTTTGCAATTTTCGGAAAATCAGAGTTTAAATGAAAATAAGACCTGCACCATTCTTTAAAATGTCTCTCACATTATTCAACAATAAAATTTAATCAAAAACGATGGAGCCATTTTTTTGAAAATTTGGAAAATGTTTCAGAGGCTTTATGTAAAGTACCCCCAAAATTAAAATACCTGTTTCAAATTCAAGAGGCCTCGACATCAGCGAGAGATCGATTGGGGAAAATCAATTTTGGAGAATATCGACTGAAAGGTTTAGCCGTGTAACGCTCGTTTTGTTCACAAACGAACAGACCGACAGACTATTTATTTTTGCATTTATTCGATTTTTCGGAATCAAGGACGCACAAAATATATATATTCAAGGCTACACCAAGTGTTAGAAGGTTTTTTTTCTAAATTTGCCAGCTGGATTTATCCACTTTTTCGTTTCCAAAGCCCTGTAATAAGTCTGCCGAAATTTGGCCGTCATTTCACGCCGCGTTGCTAAACGTTCTCTCTACTCCGCAGAGAGAAAGTAAAAAAAGAATAAACAGCGCATTGCTTGCAGGGCCTGAACGAAGAGGGTCGCCGCTCGCTGCAGCTGAGCTCGTCCGCCTTCTCGGTGCTGAGCGCCCGGGGCCGCCCAAGCGCCTCCCGCAGGAAGGCGGCGCGGCGGCTGGTGAAGCACGGGCAAAAGGCGCTCGAGTATCTCTGGAAATACCATCAGTCTTTTAAAGTAAGACTCACTGGCATCGGCAAAGAAGCTCTTATGACAATTTAAACTACTTGAATGGTTGAGCCGCAATATATACTCAAAAGCTGGTTTTACAAAATGCCTTCTAGGAAAAAATGTGCATTGCAAAAGCATAGAAACATTTTAGAAACAAGTAAATTGTTCATTATTTACAAAAGAAATTAATATATTTGTTCATAAAGAAAAATCAACTCAGAAATAAAAAGTACCCCATTTACACACTTGGTGGAAACAAATGAACCATCGCCTTCTATTCCATTACATGGAAAACTGTTTCAATGTTTTAATATCATTTCGGTGGGGTACGCTTCATTTCTGCACGGCAATTTATCGACGATCTCTCTTCTATATCGTCCAGAACGTTGTGCTATTATTTGTTTATCGTTAAAAACTATACTGAGGTGACAAAAGTCATGGGATAGTCCTAAAATCGTGACGGTTATCGTTTATCCCAGTGAGGTGCAGCAACTCAACTGGACTCAACAAGTTGTTGGAAGTTGCGAGCAAAAATATTGAACCAAGCGGCCTCTAGTAGCGTCCTTAATTGCGAAAGTGTTGCCGGTGCGGGATTTCGTGAACGAACTGACATCTGGATTATATCCCCATAAATGTTCGATGGGATTCATAGCGGGCGACCTGAGTGGCCAAATCTGCTCGAATTTTTCAGAATGTTCTTCAAACCAATGGCGAACAATTGTGTCCCGGTGACTTGGCGCATTGTCATCCATAAAAGTCCCATCGTTCTGTGGGGACATGAAGTACTCCAATGGTCTCCAAGTAGCCAAACACGACCATCTCCAGTCCAATATCGATTCAGTTGGACCAGAGGACCCAGCCCATTCCATGTAAAAACAGTCCCGTATAATAAAAACTGCTAACTATTTGCAAAGGCAAATGAGCTACAAAGCTTGGCTATTATCTCTCATCATTCTTTTCGTGAAGGAATCGATTTCTTACCGCGGGAAGATGGTGAACATTAATTTGAATAACTAAATTCCCTAATGAACTCGAAATCGAGAAAATGTGTGCCGATAATTAAATTATGTCCAGAAGCAAAACAAAAGGCCATCTCGGCATTCTATCAAAGATTCAGGGAAACTGCAGAAAACGTTGATCGAGATTGGGCTCAGGCACAATACTTGTTACACACATATTTAAGTGAGTGGCTTAATGCTAAGGCTTAAAGTAACAATGCTCTGGGTATAATATTCTAAGTATTACCGAAGAAAACATTTACTTTTTTGAAGAAAGAATTGGCGTAATTGCAGTTCAAGTTACGACAACGCTGTGTCATGAATACCTGCAGTTAAAACTACGATTTTAACTGCAGAGTATTCATTAATTGAAAATTTCTCCAATGACATTCCACATCTATAAGAGCGCATCGAGACTTAAAAATGCGCATATAGTTTCGGTAACGTCGAAAATCCAGACCAAAAAAACAACAAACGAAACTTTCTACGAAAAAATACTATTGTGAGGCCAAATTGGTAATGTAATTATTTTTCCAATATGATGATGGGAACTCCTAGCCAAATTGTGGCTTGAGCAGTAAATCGCCATCGCGTTTGGATTCGTTCCCACTGCTGTTTATTCGTCCTCTCTTCCTAGTATTTTACTTTGTCACACTGGCTGGTCGAAGGCTGCCCGGCCTCTTTTTTTCTATGTCATTCAGGAACTGATTTGTTAATATATGTTTAACTTAAATATTTTTGACATGCTAGGAGTCACTTGCTTGGATTTCAAAGTGGTAATTGAAAGAATTGATTTAGACTGGTAAAAAGGTAATTTACTCTACGATATTGAATTTGGATCAAGATTAGGACCGAAAGTCGCAATGCGCATGGTTTATGATCTACAATTATAATCTACAACAATCTGCACAACTTCTACCCTTCACCTTTTCTTCTCTCTTGTACTTGGAGTTAACAAAAATGTCTTTAACACATGCCCCTCAGTTCCGCTTCCTTCACCAATGCTGCCGCAAGTACCTGGAGCGTCGCCCTTTCCAGCACAGAGGGTGGATAGAAGAGAGAGAAGGACCTCCCCTAAGTCGGCGTCATTGACCCACTCACACACACAAAGGTCGCTGTCCTTTGGCCCGGGAAGGTTGCAGACCCCGCGTTGCTGTTGGCATCAGCTACAGACCGACAACTCCCGTTATTTTGAAATTTCACCTAGGCCGAACAGTAAATATCCCAAGTCGAATGAAATCTAAATTTTCCAAAGATATGCTTAAACCTCCCTAAACTAATAATATCACCCGTATTTCTTTATACTCTGTCACGTTTCCCTTTCCTATTGCTCGACAGGGCAATTCTAACAGCTTATCCCCCCTCCCCCAAAATCAAGATTAAATTCCAGTAGCTTCTGAAAGAAAACAAAGGAATTAAATGAGTCAGAGTATCTAACCTCAAATTTGTCAAGAAATACCTAAATCTCAAAAAGTCAGCATGTAAAACTGAAATCCCTCGAAAGACCTTTCGTGGAACGAGAAGAAATAAATTAAAAAAAAAACGTTGTTTTGACGACGCCGTTGTCATTAATCTCGACGTCTCCTTTACACGCGTGGTAATTACTGTCGCGGTAATTTCTCAGAGTCCATTACGCAGCCACTTGTATCAGTGGGCGATATGCTCGATCTGTATTTTTATCAAACTGAAGGTGAGTTATCTCATAGCGTGAGTTATTCCAAAATTAATTGCCCTGCCATCTGCAGCGGAGAGCATTGTGCTCGACCTGGTCACTAGCTCACGAGCTCAAGTTAATTGTGGCGTGTTTTGCTCTTGCGAGCCAAACTCACTCATGGCGTGATTTCGTCTACTCTCGATATCCTGCATTTGAGCTCGCCTCGATATTCTTTCTGCTCGCGATCGCCCCAAGATTCTCTCTTGTTTTTGTCGCCCCCGGTCTGTACTTCGCGGTGCCGTTTCTTCCCCACCCGTTGTGCTCGGCGAAACCACGCCGTACTTTTCGTTTATCCAATAACTATACTGTTTACTATACGAATTTGCCTCGGGTCTCTCCATTGGTTATGAGGATCTACGTCAGCGCGCCACGCTCCGGGAGCTCGAGCATGAACCTCGAGCTGGTAGAGTCCTCGGGAGGGCCATCGCCTTCAGGAGTCGCCGTTGTTCCTCGCACATTGATCGGTTGATTGAGAGCTCGACCGGTTCGCTCGCTGGCCTCGTTACGCCCCTCTGTCCGATTAGTGAAGTCGGCGATGAGCGCGTCTGCACCCGGCAGCAAGTCGCTGGCCTCAGTCCTCGAGTCATTGTTCAGTGGCCGTCTCAAGAGGCTGCGACTGCATACGGTATCCCCGCGCCCCAAGCCGCCCTGCGTCGGACGTGCCGCCCATCCTCTCTGGTGTGGATTGTACAAACTCCAAGGCTGTCCGTAGCCCAACTCGACACATCTACGAACAAAACCTCTGTGTTCGTCTGTTTTCTCCACCCTTCCCTAGAATTTCTCTTTATCCCTAATTTCTCTATATTATTTTATTCGAGAATGTAAATGATCACAATATTATGATGATGTCAATGGTGTGATTTCTTTCACCTGCAATGACTCAGCTGTATATTCCATTCTATAAGAAATCTTGCGGCCCCCTGCACCGGAATTTGTCGCGCAAGAAATAAAATGTACGGAATTGATGGTTTAAATTGATGAATTGAATGAACATAATTTCGCTTGTAAGTGCATTTCTTGGAAATTATTGTCAACTGCTTTCATCCTCCATACAAACATCTGGAAATAATGTGAAATCTGTATTAGTCATGCCCTAATTCAAAACTACATCACAGACTAAGACTATCAGCAAGTGACGTAATAAATGAAAAAGACACTAAAACATTTTCTCCCATCTCTGCTTCAAGGGCGTCGCAGTGTTGTGCCCGAATGTAGGCTATGATTGTGGAGCCCTGATTCATTTCACGGTTGGGAGTGACATCACCCAAAGTCAGTGGGCATCAGTTGAGCGCACGGTGAGTAGAGGTAATTCATAACGTTATTTTTTCAGTTGATTACTTTCTCATATACCTGTAAGAGAAAATATTGTATCGTTGAAAATAATAAATTTTGAGACTTCGACGGAAATACACGTAGATGAAAAAGTTTTTTTTTTAATTTTCAAAATGCGTCCTTACGTTTGTCCGTCTGTGAACAAGACTAACACCTAAACCGGATTTTCCATAAACTGAAGTTTCTTTGAATTTAAAACTAATATTTATTTGTTTGAAGTAATTTACAATAGAGCCCCCTTTTAATTTTTTTCTTAAAATTTTCTCATATCTGTTTCTTCAATTGTTTTGCACTAACAGAAAAAAATTATTATAAAAGTCACTAGATCTACGTTCATTAAAACAGGATTCATAGAAACGAAATTAGTAGAGGGGTTTTAAACTTTACAAAGTATTAAAGGTCTATTCGAGGAAAGCTTTTAAAGGAAATATTTTAAGCTATTTATGATAAAATTTTGAAAAATTCCCATTGGCTTCTTGTAATTCTTCCAAACAAGAACATACTTAGTTTTACACCGAGCTTAATAACGTGTTCTTCAATGACCTTGAAAACGACAGAAAGGTAACTGTCAGAAAGGGATTTATTGAATTTACCTCATTCACTCTACCCTTCAACTTAAATCAAAATTTAAGAATGAACGCTTCCAGTGATTCATGATTATGTCGAAAAATATGAAAAATCAACAAAAATTGAATAAATCATTTACAAATGCTGAACTATTACTGTTTGATTATTGATTCATTTCAATAGTGCAATTCGACTTTTCAGAATTTGAAAATCAAACTTATCGGAATATGCCAGAATGCATCTGTTTGCAGTTGCCCAAAACAACCCCTAGATTATATGAGTATTTTTCCAAGACGGTGATGCAACGATTTTATTAGCAAATATGGCAGAGCTGGGCGGGGCCAGGAAAAACCGCGCTGGGCCGATAGAGGTGGGAGGGCAAGAAATGATAAGGGGAAAATATAATACGGATAGAATTAATTCCTTTTTTATTTTGATATCTGATAGTTGTGAGCAATTATTATACAGTAAACGTGCGACACTACACCAGCTAGTAAATAAACAAAATAGTAACATGTTCCACGTTTCTTCAAGACAAAGTGAAAATATATTTATTCCGATAGCGTTAACTACTCCACGTAGCTTCTTCTTCCGGGTCAATGACCCCCATCTCGATCAGGTTTTTGTCCAGTTTCCCTGATCCATTGAGCAAATGCTGAGATGGCCCCTTGTTTTGCTTCTGGACGTAAATGTAGCTTTATTGTGCGCAGGTTCTTTTAATGGTAGGAGTAGAGGTAAGGGCGAGTTACTATTTTGTTAGCAGTGTAGAAAAATAATACTTGCAATTCGTTTACCGATGCAAATAAGTTGTCTATAACTTGGATACGAAAGTGTCAATTTTGTTTCAAATATTGTTCATCTTGCACTTTAAAAAAAAATATTTTTATTAATTTATTTCGAAATTTTACTCATCTTTCAACTATTCATGGTTAAAATGATGGGAAGGGATTCTGGAACTCTAGAAAACTTGAGCAGATGATCTTCTTCCCATACAGTATTTACTGTTTTTTTATTAAAAAAAAATTAAAGAATAAAATCTAAAGTATATCCCGCAGTGAGGCACCATCCCGCAGTTCTAAGCTGCCGACTGGTTTACCATCATGTTTGTTTGTGAGGAGGGCACAAGGACGAGGAAACACAAACAGCGTGCGGTCCAGTTGATAGGGTACTGCACCGGCATTCACCTAGTATTTATCGAAAAAACGATTCTTTCTTACAATTCTTGCCTTTACAGTGCTTGAACTCGCACAGGACACTTGATTGTGTCGAAAATGTGCCAACGTCTGGAATCGTATCACCCAATCAAAGATGTTGCACAAGAACCAGTGATAGCTTTAAGCTCTTGTAACCGGGACGTTTACCGGGAGAAGTGGCTCAAGGCATTAACTGATGTCACTGCAGTGCCTCTGGCCGGAAGGTCCTAGGTTCGGGTCTCGACGGTGGAAGGATTTTCGACACACTAGCTTGTCAGGTCGAATTCTGTCGCTGTCTAGAGGAGAATTCTATCGGCCGGCTGCTCTGATCGGTAGTTGTTCGTGGTTTCTCCGATCAACACCAGGCGAATGCCGGAGCAGTATCCAAACAATCGGGCCACGGACAGTGCGAGATCTTTCCTTCCCCTTCCTTGTCTTAACCTTACACTTACATGCGCTACACTAACACACGCCAGGAGACCGGTCCGGGGCTTAGAGCTTGGCCCAGGCTAGGATGGTGCCTCGTTACCCGATGGAAAACTTACTAACAGACAGGGAGGTTGGCGCCAGATCCCATAGTCGAGGGGGAAGATCACAGCCACCTCATGAGGAAAAATCGCGCACTTAACTTACGGGAGTAATGACCTTAGCAGTTAATGCGCCCGGAATCACCAACCAATCAAGGAAACCGGCACATTTCTCCATGGAAGTATAGCGAAGATTCTTTTGAGTCCAGATGGAGGCAGCGACCTGGCTGGCGCGACTACTAACGCGCGACCTTCAAGGTCACCCTGTGCGCGTCATCTGGTACACCATCAGCCCTCGACTCTTCGCACGAAAGCTGGTGGTGCATGATCGGACTTGGAGTTTGACGGGTGACGAGTTGTTTCTTCTGTTCAACATTTTAGGGAGGATGCACACTACGCTGGACTTATATGAGGCAGACAATCAGGTAAGCTCTTTACAACTACATTTTTTCTGAACCGAATGTCTTGCTCGAAGTCCACAAAGAAATGTATCAACCGAGCTCATTAGGGCAATAATATAGTATAATAAAATAGTATTTATACCGATATTATAATATTTGTTCCGGTTTATAATTTTGATTGTATCCGACTCAGTAGCATATAACGGTAGTTTTGATTAAATTTTGGCGTGAAAGGAGAAAAACGAAGTGAAAGGGTACGTATTGAAAATTTATTTGAAATCTATATTTTTTAATTTGATATATATGTAATTTTTGTGTGCATTGAACACAAACAAAGAGATTTGAATTATCTTTCCAAAACATTTGTTTTGCGTTATGTGTAATTACTCTATTTGCTTCATTAATTCATACTGGACATGCTCGAATAAAATATGGTAATATTATAGTTTTCATAATATATTTGTTTCCCTCAACAGGAGGAAATGTCTACATTCTCGTGGGCTACGAGCACATTGGTTTTGGGGAATGCAGACGTAATGTTAGGTCACTTCTCGGCCATAGACGAGTTTTCGACTGGAACGAATATAATCGCGGCCACCGCGGAATTCAATAAAGGCGTCACCCTGGTGTCGCTCGCAACGGACCTGCCGGCGTGGTCGCTGCCGCTGCGCGTCTTCTCCGCGCGCATCTGGCTCGCGCTGCTGGGGGCGGCGGTGGCGTACGCGCTGGCGTGGCGCGTGGTGGCGGGCGAGTCGCTGGCCGCCAGCGCCGCCGCCGCGCTGCGCGCCTTCTCCTCGTGCGGGGGCGCCCCGCAGGACAGGGTGCGCGCCACGCCGCAGCGCCTGCAGCTGGCCGCCGCGCTGCTCGCCTCCGCCGTCGTCGTGGCCGCCGCGTACCAGGTGAGTGGAACAAGCGTTTTGCAATTACACACGGACCCGCGAGGTCAGGGTTCTGTTATCTTTGACAGTGCCATTTACCGGGAGAGGTGGCATAATGCATTAACTGATATCTGTGCAGTGCCTCTGTGCGGGAAGTCATAGGTCCGACGGGGCCAGAATTTTCGAGAAAGGAGTGAGGATAGGGCAAGTAAATAGAAGGAAAGATCGCGCGCGGCCCGTAGGCCGTTTGTTAGGGTACAGTCCAGGCCCTCGTCTGACGTTAATTAGACAAACCACGGAAAATTACCGATCAGAGCAATCAGCTGCTTGTATTATTTTTCAGACAGCAGCTAAATCGACCTTACTTCTAGGCTGTCCGGGTGACGCCGCGTCGTTGCCAGATAGGCCGACGTTTCGCTTGTCATGTCGCAGGCTTCTTCAGGGTAGTGAGGTACCCTGAAGAAGCCTGCGACCCTCACTACCCTGAAGAAGCCTGCGACATGACAGGTGAAACGTCGGTCTATCTGCCAACGACGCGGCGTCTCCCGGACAGCCTAGAAGTAATGAACTCGAGCCGCGGAAGCCTACGTGTACAAATCTACATTGCTGTTTAGTTAGTGTCGAAAAGCTTGCCAATATCATCGGAACTCGAACCCCAGCACGTCGCGGTCTGAGGCACTGCGGTGCCATCAACTGATGCTCCGAGCCACCTAAGACGATAGGAGGCCCAGGAATGTAGCTGCCTCATTTTTCAATTTTGTAGAAAATCGGATGAACGGTTTAGCTTCTAGCCTTGTTCACAGACGCACAGACATTTTGCCATCATTCGATTTTTCGGTATTTTCGACTCACAAAACATGGATTCTAGCTACACCATGTGATGGAGAACTTTTTTCTAAATTTAGCAATTGAATTTATTCACTTTTTTCGTCACCAGGGTCTCGCAAAAAGAATATTTCTGCCGAAAATTCGCCGTTTTTTCGCGCAGCGTAACATAACTTTCTCTCTTCTCAAGTAGCGAGAAAGTAAAAGTCGATGGTTAATCGCAAGTTGGTTTGTCCCAGAGCCACCTGGCAGCCCTGGCCGCGCGGCGCGACGTCGCGGCCGAGACCAACTCCTTCGCCCAGCTGGCGGCGGCGGGGCGGGCGCTGGTGTGCGGCACCACCGCGCTGGTGCTCAAGGCACGCGAGCGCGCGCCCGGCCTGCGCGCGCGGAAGCTCGCCTTGCACCAGATCGAAGCGCTGGTGGCGTGGGCGGAGGCGGCGCGCGCGCCCGTGGCCGCGCTCGTGCACGAGGAAGACTGGCTCTATGATTTGGTCGCGCCGGGTGAGGAGGCTGGCCTCCGGGTGATGACGGAAACCATGGACCTGCTGCCGGCCTTCGTCCACGCGAGGCGGTGCGTACCCTAGGAGTCGCGCCATAGTTTGAATCCGAAAGGGCGGCCGCACACATGCAGCATTCGGCGAATCCCGTCCAACCGCTCGATGAATTCCGTGTAGTGTGGACGGGTTGCTTGTGATTCGCCGAGCGACGAACATTCGGTATTCGCTCTACCCACCGCGTGTCGGTCTTCAGGACACGTCAAAAAGAGCTAACATCCGCCAAATACGAATCACATCATACAAATCAAATAGTACATCAGCTAATCGGGATTAGACGACCAGTAGCTCGCTGCTCGGCGAATGCCGAATGTGTGGAGCCGCCTCAATAGTTGTATAAGTCTGCTCGTAGCCAAAAGCGAATGAAGGTTTTACTAATCTGAACTTCCGTTCCGCACTGTTTATACTCCTGAAGACGCACGCAAACGTGGATTTTCCAATGATTTCAGCTGTCGCTGCTTTCCACTTACCCAGCATTGCTGACCGTCCACCTTACTCTTGACGTAAAGTCCAATAAAACGCTTAATCTTCCCACAAAAATAAACTTTACATTGTTCGTACGTTCTGGATGGCTAAATCGGCAATCTGTTACATGCTCGGCTGTAGTGAATATTTTGTTTTATACTCTTGAGCCACTGATTAATTAATCGAATACCTTCCCCAAGGATTCGCCGATCTTGTAATCATTTATAGTCTCTACTAATTGGATAATTAAACAAGAATTTCAGTTTCAATATCATGTCAAGCGTGCATTGCTTATTATCTCTAGCCAGCGTCACCCAAAACTCCCCTCCAAAGCAACCTATTATATACCTTATATGTTCTATCTCTTAAGAGTTGGTTACGAGTAGCACCAATTTCTATATTTACAGAAGGCAAGGCAGATAGAATCAAATAAGTCTTGATGTGTCAGGTTCGTTAGCCTACGGGTCAGATAAATAACCCTTGATAAGTCAGATAAATTTATGGCTTTATAGTCTTAAAATACATTTCTGCGTAGAATAGTGGAAAATTGGATCAGTTCCATTATATATAAGAGTACCAAAGGTTGCCAGAATAGGGTCGCGGTTGGCGGAGCTTACGTAGTAGACTTTTCACTATTAGGTGAGCGTAGCGCAATCCGTTCCGAGTTCAATGGTATAATTGTCGTTTCGGAAGTCGGTGATCTTTCACAAAAAATTGTTTTCTAAAAGCAGTTTAGCATGGTCCTCGTTAAAAAGAAACTACAAAGATAGTCCATTGGAAAAAATCAAGTGTATGAACTAATTTCTCGTTTCAAAGAAGGTTAAATGTCACTTGATGACAAACCTTGCTTGTCCATAAACTTCCAGAATTTATGAAAATTTTGAAAATATTCAGGCATTTGTTCTTGGGCCAAACGATGATTCATTGAAGAGATTATTAAGTTTTCTGTATTCTCGTGAATTTCCAGCGTTTGGGAGACTAGAAAGATCACAGCAAACGTTGTCCCTCCGGTCCTGAATGAACAGAAAGACAATCTATAGTTGAAACATGCAGTGCATGACCAACTCCGAACCAACACAGATTTTTACTTTCTCGCTACGGAATTGAGAAAAAGTTATGTAATGCTGCGAGAAAAAAACGGCGAATTTTCGGCATCAAAACTTGTATTAGAGGATCCAGATAACGACAAAATTGAAATAGTATTTATAAAGAAATCCTCTAAGGGTGTGGTGTATCCAGAATCCATGATTTGTGGGTCCTTGAAACTGAAAAATCGAATGACGGTAAAACGTCTGTGTGTCCGTCGGTCTATCAAAGACGTTAAAACGATTTGATTTTCTCCAAAATTGATATTGTCCTAATGATCAGGTTAATGTCGCGATCCCTTGAATTTGAAACTGATATTTTATCTTTCAAGGGTACTTTCCATGAAACCCTTGGATAATTTTCAAAATAATGGCTCCATCGAGTTGGTTCTTTCAAAAGCCACTTCAGTGAGAAAGTGATTAAGTTCTATTCTTTCACCCACGAGCACATAATAAAGGTCCATTCCCTCAATCTCTACCTCTTTTTGGCACGAATTCTCTAAATATCTAATTCACACTCCTAATTTTCAAAAACCTTTAACTAAGTCACGTCTTTTCAGCATGTCATTTACGTCCGATTAAACCCATTCGGGCGATGTTTAACAAAATAATCGTTCGAGGGAGTACTTATCGTAATCTTGTGGATCGGAGTCTTCCTTCACCGTGATGTCATGTTGAATCAAGGTCTCTCAGGCCGCTCGTGTTGGCGGCTTCCAGTCCAGCGCGTCGAAAAGTGCCTGAGCGCTTGACGCGCTGCTTGTGGCCGCAGATCCAAGGCTTGAGGCGTAGCTAGCGACGCCGACCGCCCGTGGTGCGTTGCTCGCAATCCAAAGTTACCCGCAGCATACCGCGGTCCAATCACCATAAAATTATTCTAGCTCGCACCGTCAACACCCAGTTTGCTGTCTGTTATTTTTACTGTTTCAGCAAGTTGCCAAATGTCATCACTACTTTCACAAGCTTTGTCGGTTTTGAAAATACTTTGCTTCACGCAATCAGCACTAAATAAATTCAACTTCTGCATGCACTATGACTCCTTGCTCTTGCTAATCTCCCCCCACACCGCGTCGTCTTGAATACGTGTCCATTTAACCGTCTCCTCTCGTTCCCAACATGCTCTCTACCGCGTCGGTCGGCACGGACTCCACAATGTCTCAGAATGTATATCAATACAGGTTACCAACCTCTTGCCCGCGCTACTTGAATGTAGCTTTGTTATCTCGAACCACAGAACGGTTACAAGACGTCACGGGAACCTTAGATTACATAGTACTCTCAACGCCTGGCTTTACAATATACGAGCGAAGAAATCGACTACGCTACTCAGGAATCCCGTGGTGAACGGTTGCGTAGGCTTCCGCGGCCGGAGTTTATGTTGGCTGGGCTATCCGGGACGAGCCGCGTCGATGTGCATGATGGCTTAACGTTTCCGGCCAGCGTATGTGGCCTTCTTCAGAGCGTACTGCTGAAGAAGGCCCAATAACGCTGGCCGAAACGTTAGCCACCATGACATCGACGCGGCTCGTCCCGATAGCCCGCCAACATATTTCGTGTTGAGAAGCATTTGTCTGCACCTCGTGAATATTGGTTTGAAGCAAGAACCATTAAAATATCTAAAATCGAGAAATCTGAGAAGGGAAAAATGACGTTAAGCGTAAAAAATGGACTTACAGTCGAAAGTTGGCGAAACAATGCAAAAAAGTAACATTTAAAAATGGTTATTTCGTTTTGTCTTAACATAGTAATAAATTTCTAAACTAAATGGAATTGTTCTAAAGCGAAAAGAAAGAAGTACAGTTTCAATTAAAATCCACCCCTGTGTATTATAATAATTTAAATATATTATCATATAAAATTAAATATTTAATAATAATAATTTATGATTGTATATTTATTTATATTAACTTTAAGAGAGAGGATTATATATATATAATATATATATATTTATATATATATATATTATATATATTATATCTTCTTCTTTTGGTCTATCTTCCATATACGGAATTAGATGACCGCATAACGGGTTTTCTTGGGATAAATATATTGAGGGTGGTTCCCGTTCTTCCCTGATGTGATGATGATCGATTTAATAGGGGTTGAAAGGACGAAACACAATACAACCGATGCCCGAGGCGGGCTGCGATCCCGCACGATCTTTCGGTACGAGATCGCTACGGCACTAACTGCACATTAGAATCTCGGTTCACGCGATCGGCGTGTGTGTGTGCGTGCGTGTATATTATATTAATTATATATTATATATATAATACTATATATTCTATATAAATCAACTTTATTGCACATTATATTAATTATATATATATATAGTGAGTGTTCTCTTATGTTACTACACTCTGCCATCGGGCAACATATTCTCAGTTGTAGAATAAAGCTTCCATGTATCTATTCCCCGCGCCTCAATTTCGTCCCGCAGGAACTGGCCGTGGACGGCCACCTTCAACGCGATCGCGCTGCGTATGCACGCCGCCGGCCTGGTCGCCCACTGGCGCGCCTCCTTCGCTCGCGACTTCGCCTGGTGGCGACGCGTCGTCCTGCACCTGCGCTACGCGGCCGCCGCGCGAGGCAGCCGCAGGCGGGAGGGCGCCGCGCCCCGGCCCTTGGCTCTCGGCGACCTGCCCGCGCATCTAGCGCTTCTGGCGGCGGGGCTGGCGGCGGCCGGCCTCGCCTTCGCCGCGGAGGGGTGGTGGCGACACCGCGGGGACGTGCTGCGGTGGAGCAGGCGCCGCGCCGCGCAGCTCGTCGGCGGCGTGCAGCGCCCCTGGCGGATGCTGTCGCAAGCGGTGATGCGCAGGCTCTACAGGTTGGAGGATTTGCTGGGCGAGTGAGTGGGGGAAACGATGGAAGGTGCGAACCTAACGGTTGATTCACGAGTGCTCTTCTTTTTGTGCATCTAGCTTCTGAAAATATAATGAAAATGTTTTCTATTTACCAAAATCAGTATAAGTATGATGTAGGGAACTGTGACAAAAAAATCCTGCTGTACACGTTACCTTAAAAAACGCAATAAATCACATAATTATAACCACTGGATTGTTTTGTGAAACGACACGTGTCAGACAATTTGTAAATAGTTCTATCCATTTAATCTATTATAATCCCAAAATAATTAATAAATTCAATATTCTAATGAATGAACATTTTAGCTGCAAAACTCTTTTATTAGGTGTCTTGATTTTAAGGATAGAAACTGCAAGGGTCTGTCATGTATCGCGTGTGATCTCTAAAGCACAATACTCTTAAGTTGGCAATCAGTTATTACAAAAAGAAATATACCACCATTTAGAAATATTTAATAGCTAATTAATTAGGCAAAAATTAGTGTAATAGCTCTTCATTTTTTCGCAATTAAAGGTAAGCAGGCTTAAGATTAAACTGGTTCCACCACAAAAACAAATATACCATTTTCTAGAGCGATTTAACGTGTAGTAATTACGCAAATAATGGCAACACTGGGAACGACTTTGATATATATATATATATATATATATATATATATATATATATATATATATATATATATATATACGCAACACTCAGGACAGAAAGGAGTAGAAAGATGCAGTCAACCAAGCGATAGGGAACAGAAAGAGACAGGCAGAAGAATAAAGGATGGCAAGGCCCTGACCTTCTTGCTATGAAAATTTCGTGGATCTCGAAGGGTCGTACGCGACCTGAAGGGATAATAATCAAGTATGCAAAATAATTTAATTGCTCTTCGACCTTTCGAGTAATTAATGGTGATCTAGCTCTTAAAACGTTCGCTGGCACCACCGCAACTGGTTACCACAAAAAAGATTATGTAGCCATGTAGAACGATTTAATAGCTAGTTAATTACAAATCACTTGGTACTATTAAATCTCTCTAGTGTGCAGCAAGCAATTCTTCCCTTACTCCACACTTTCACCGAAAACTGGGAGAAATGACGCAAAACCCAGCCTCGTTGCGAGATGCCATGCCTGTGTCTGCTGTGATGCGGAAGCCGGTTTGAATTCGCGTCCAGAAGAAACCTTTAATGTAAATTATATCGAAGACATTTATTTTCGGAAAACTGGATGAACCATTTTTTATGAAATGAAACGTACAATCTTAAGTATTTTTGTGGATACCTGTGTACATACTAGATAATAAAACAGACAACATGGTTCGCCACAGTATAAAATACACCGTATGCCCTTTAAGTGCCTGCTTTATGAATTAATTATATGAGTAACCGATACCTGTGACACTGGCCAACAGTGAAAATCTTTCCGACTTGAAAGAAGTCATTTTTGATTTCTTTTATAATGAAAAAAAAAATCAAAATAATATTTAAAACTTGCAGTTAGCTCTTGGTTCTTCGATATGGCCTATATAAGTTTGTATGTATATAGGTATGTATTTGATGACGGCATGTAATATCTCAACAATACCTATTTTAGAAGGCCTTGCAGTGTATATTTACGATCACCTCAGTGTCTTAGAGAATAATTGTAACAGATAATTACATTTGAATATGGAAAATATTTAACATAAGCTGGTTGAAATATTAGAAGAAGCTGACAAAACCATGAAAACATTACTTAGTTCGAAAATTAAGAGCATGTATGAGAAAACAACACGTGTTAATGTTGTTAATGTAAAGCCGTTTCAGTTCTGACTCTCACGTTTTGCAGGTGTAATATCCGCAGCGGGTAACCGACGAACACATTTTTTATTTTTGTAATATTCTAAAACCAAATCTTTTACGCGTAAAACATTTAATCATGTTTAATATTTTATATTATTCCATTAGTCAGATCCTCATAGTGTCAAACCAACATACTTTTGGTCATACGTGTTTATGTTGAAGTGGCGTGTAAATGATAATATTAAAATAATAATATATAAATAATTTATATTATAAACAATTTTCTCGATTTTCCAAAACAAATAAAGAGGTTTGCCAAAACAACTGCTCTCTCTGGGCCGTCACGTTCAAATAGGTGAATTAACATATCTGTGCAATATAAAGAGACTTCGGGGTTAAATGGTCGATGCATGTATGAGTAGGGTAATAGTTTCTAATTCAAATTATTGTACTACGAATACTAACATGATAGTCTAAGTAGTAATAATTATTCGTATATAATTTTGTTTCATTCGTTTACTGATTGTATTTTTTGAAGTACGTAATATGTAATGTACATTTTTGTTTATGTTTCATGGCCAGCAGGAAACGTCTGTACTATAGATACATAATTAAACGATTTCGATCATTTCTCTGCGTTCTGGTTGGCTGATGTGGAAATTTAATTGCACGATTCAGTTTTAATTGCACGCATGCCAAAATGGTGATAATCGACGATTTTTCATGGAATTAATGAGCATATTTAGTTAACTAAACAAAAAGATATTTAAAAAAACCTTTGACCAATATGGAGTAGTGTGTTATAATAAATCTTAAATATAAATCAAAATATTAAGTAAGCAACTGTTAAACATATATCTTTATTTAATTTCGAATTTTTACAATAAAAATTTAAAAGACGGGATAGGTTCAGGTTTTAATTTTGAAATGCACTTGAAAAATGTTTTCAGCTACTAGTAAAATACTTATTTCACGTTTTCTTCTCCCTCACTTAACCCATCATTTTTTTGGCAGCTCCCGCTGCAGCTTCTACTCCAGACTGAGCTGCATCCTTCATCGTTTCAGCAGCTTTTTTGGCCGCCTCCACACCTTTTTTAGCCATGTCCGCGGCCTTTCCCATCATGTCGCTTGCGACATTCATCATTGCCTCCATTGCGCGTTTGTCGCGAGACAGCAGCTCTTCCTCTGGGGCACTGCGTTTGCCTTTACCACCTTTCCCAACGCCATCAGGTTTGCCCACGCCGTCAGGTTTGCCTTTGCCAACGCCGTCGGGTTTGCCGACACCGTCAGGTTTGCCTTTGCCAACGCCGTCGGGTTTGCCGACACCGTCAGGTTTGCCTTTTCCAACACCGTCAGGTTTGCCAACGCCGTCAGGTTTACCTTGAGGATATCCGTCGCATGATACGTACAGGAAGACTAGAAGCGCCACCTAAAAGAAATTTCGAAATTACCACATAAATACCACATAACACAAATTCATTATGAAGTTAAAACACAGGTCGTCTGTTTAAGCACAGGTTCGAGGTCTGATGGGAATAATGAAGGTAAGTAAACGCTGGATGGAGAATTTTTTTTGAACAAACTGCATGGCTAAGTGAAGCAGAAAGATAGCTTTTTAATGACTACAATCACTCAAAACTGAAGAAATTAATTATTTGTACCAACTGCACCATTGTTACACAGTTTTTACACGTTCTTAAATTAAGATATATATTAAAAATGATAATAATTTTACTGTTAAAAAATATAGACTTTAAATTAAATAATAAGACATAATTTATAGAATAGATTTGTAAAAGTATTTTAATATATTTTATAAAAAACACTACAATTCAATTTTCTCCATTAATTTATTAATATTTTGACGTTTCCGCCATAATTGGGGTCTTTAAAAAAATTTATCAAGTCGTGGAGATTAAATAAATAAAATTTGTAAAAAAAACTTTTTGAGTCTGTCAAATATCATGGAAAATATCAGTGAAGGAAAAAAACCATTCCACCATGGATAATTCCTCACACAGAATTAGATCTATCATAATTTCCATCTCAAAAGATAAGATATTACATAAACACTGGAATATAAAATCGACTGAACTAGCAAACAAATACAAGGATCATTATGAGATCTTCACAAAATTCATAAAAAGTCAAGTTGAAAAAGATGCATTAACAATCACTCAAGAAATAAAAATTAAAAATATACTACATTACTACTCCAGACTCACTTCTGCAGAACTTCGCTTCATATAAACAGTTTTTAAACTTGAAAAGAATTTTAACAGCAGCAAAATTGTTGTCTTCTCCACAACTATTGAAGCAATTAATAATATTAGCAATGATTGTTCGAGTGCAACAGTGTTAGACAACATTTATGAACTGTATTATGGCATACAATCTAACAAGACTTCAGTAATGGCCTGACTCCCAAATTGCAAAGGGATGCCTGAAAATGATGTAATCAGCCTTGAAGAAGAGATGAAAACTCCAGAAATAGATGGAGTTCTAGCAACTTCGCACATATGGACGGATCTATGGACACACTCTATAGACTGGAAATAAATTTATTTAAAAAAATTGTAAAACTTGTAAAAATTGTAAAGCATTAAGAATAAAACAGAAGCAAATAAAAACTAAAATAAACAAATTGTGACGTACCTTAGGTTCATGTTTGTTAAGAAGACTTAAAGAATATCAGAATACTTTTACAAAAAAATCATACATTTAGTCACTCCTTTATTTTGTAGGTTAAAATTTGAATTTACTACAATATAATTTATATTGTATTCAACCAGTTCTTTATAAAGAAATAGCGCTAGTCCTTCGCAGTCACAGATAATATTTAATTGTATTATTCATGACGTACATGATTATTTTAAATTTTTGGGCATTGCCACGAGTGCTATGGAAATTGCCGATAAATTCCCGACTGGCGAAGCGAGGAGAATCTCATCAAAGCATGGATGGTATTTAATAGGACTATTCCACGAGTGAAATTATCTCCATCAGAGTTTCAAAATGCGCCAAATATTGAAAATAACTGAAAGCTATGTTAAAATCAAAGATGCTATGTTATAGTACATACGCTGTTTATCGGAAACCAACATACCGCTGTATAACGCCTCCTAAGATGAGTCAGTTTGCGTTTGGCCAGTAGGTAGAAGCGGTACGTAAAATTGGATAGTAAAAGCGATCAACTTTTTGAGATACATCGCCCTGATTGCGGCATTTTGTTTGTACAGTTAAACATTATTGATTTTAATTTCACGAGTGGAATAGTCGTTGTAATTTGCCACCAGCTAACAGTCGACTTTCCAAATATTATTTTCAGTTGGGTACATTGTTGAAATAACTCGTTCCCCAAAATCTTATACATTCAATTCGCATAATTTCCCTTTTCCTCTTCCAGCTTTTCTCAGACAAATTCTTCTCCTTCACAAAATTTGATTTATTTTCTTTAGAAATGTGTTCATTTTTCTCTTTTTATAACTACCGAGAAACTCCAAAATAATTTTTGGAAAACTATTTTCCGTCATCTTCTTCACATTACTAAACTACTTCAGCCGATTTCATTCTTCTTATAATTTGCACATTTATCTCCTCTTTCTGATTTTTAAACACATCTTAAATTAATTCCCAAAAAGCTTTCGATTCTTTTTTTAAAAATCAGACCGATCCCTATTTTAATAGAAGAGACTAAATACTCACGCAATGTTTTACAAACTTACGTATAGTAACAATACGAAATTTACAGCAAAGGTTTTCTGTCAATTGTCACTTCTCTTTGCGCATAAGTCCACCAGTCCTTGTGTCCGTAAAAAGCTCGAAAGGATATTACAACACACATTCTAACTTGACATTCATTTCCTATTTCATTACGGATAGAACTACAAAGTGTTCCGACCTCTCATGTTAATTCCCGTACTACTTGCAGCATGTGTCATGATTAAACGGCAGATTTTTTACCTATTTGACCATTTTTTCCTTCAATGGAAAACGCAATCTTTTAGGTTACAAAATTGATACTCCCCAATCGACATGGCTAATGTCGCGGCCGCTTGAATTTGAAACCGATATTTAAATATTGGGGGTATTTTACATGAAGCCCCTGGGTCATTTTCAAAATTTTAAAAAGGCTTCATCGTTTCTGATTAAATTTTGTTGTTGGAATTTGTGGAGGACGCTTAAAAGAGAATAGTGCAAGTTTCATTTTCGTTTAATACTGATTTTTCGAAAATTACAAAAGTTCAAACCTTTTGCAGTCTTCTTACAACTAAAATATTTAAGATAGATATTTTCCCATGAAGAAATCTGTTCCTTAAATACAGATTTTGAAATAAAGTCATGTTCAATTTTTCGAAAATTTGCGAACTTTTTGCGTGAAAGTACGGGGGAGAAAGTAAGTGCTGTTTTAGCATACACTAGATATAGATTGAATTTTGACAAAAAGGTAAAATCTATATCATTTCTACCCCAAATACCGCACCTTCATACTCGGGGCTCTGATGTTTCCTTCGCTCTATAATAGGATCCTACAGCAGAGGGAGACAAAGTAAAAAAAATATGTTTTAAAGAATGGAATCCAATGTTCCATTATTTGCATGGAATGTTTGATGGTCTCATAAAGACTATTTCACTAAAGGTTTTGACCACCTTATGTTCAAGAATTTGTGACGAATCACTGCTGTAATCCTATTTTTAAAAAAATTATTACTCGCCACAAATATAACGTAAATTATACTTACACTCAGGGTAACGGTGGTAAGTTGGCTGACCATGTTGATATGAGTTGAAGAGGGAGTGACGAATGTGATCTTTGGCTGCTTCTCTTCGACCTATATACCATGAAGTCTGCTACAAAAAACCTGAGCGGGTCGTCTGTCACCTTGCCCCACAGTGTGCACGCGAGAGCTCATCCAAAAAGCTTCATCCCACGAGAGAACTTCCTGTCAATGCGGAAATCGTAGTGATTTTACGCACCAGTGCCCTGGGTTTTAGACGTAACGAGTTTTCGATCGTTAAATGTCATGCAGCATGAGCGTGCAGTTTTGTAATGGGTTTGTAAACTAGAAATTTTGAGGTCATGTTATGAAGTCGAATCTTACTGCAGCGTTGTCGGGGTATACGATTGCTCTCTGTTGTAGTTGAGAACCCTTTAATTGTTGCGAAATAATCATATTTGTTGTTATATTATAAAAAAGAAAATGCATTGATTTTAACTATAATATTTAATATATTAGTTACCATTTAAACTGTACAATTTTTAAAAGACTAGTTATGCCTGTGATAAGTATTGTACCTCAGCTTTGTGGTTTGTGACTTCAAACTCGATCGGGCTTTTCGTCCACTTTCACTCAAATCCTCTTTTATTCTTTGAGCAAATGTTGGGATTAGCCCTTGTTTTGCTTCTGGTTGTAAATGTAGCTCCACTATCGGTGCACGCTGTCGAGCTCTTTCGGGAATGTAAGTATTTAAACACATTCTCACCTTCATCTCACGGCAGTAAGTTGATTATTAACTTATAAGTAAGAGTTAGTGCAAAGATCTCAGAGGTCGAGAAACCATGCAGCAATAACCCATTGTATGCCACATGGTTTTTAACTGTTTTTGATGTTAAATAAATATTTATATTATACAATCGTAATTGGTAAGTACTTATAACTAGCTTACAGATGCGTCTGTGGCTATTTTCATGTTTCAAAGTATAATTTTTTCTTCGTAAATTCATAGTAAACTTGTTATTTAGAATATTATTGTTCACTTGTTATTACTTAGTTCAATATTTTGTATTAATTTATTCAGTCTCTTGTTATATTTAAATACAAATAAGTGTGTTACATTATTAATATTATATACAACTATAATATTATTGCATTTCATAATATGTATGCTGATTTAATTGAAAGGTTAATTGCAAAATGACTTGTAGATGGAGAGAAAAAAGTCCCCTGGCCTTAGCCTTTTTGCATATGTTTTGCATTCATGATATCAAATTTACCATTTTTCTACCTTTTTGAGTGGAGAGCCTTTAAATAAATTATTTTAACGTGAAAGCTGTTAATCTTCACATGTTGAGGGATGTGTGCTGCTGGTTAGAAATGCTTGATTACATAAAATAAGGAACCGAATGAACTAATACAAAAGTATTAAACATTACAGTTGCATACTGAGTGTCCATTTACAGAGAAAAAGTATTTTTTAAACAAACTTTTGAGTGCTTATTGCGGCTCAGCCATTCGCAATATCCAAGGAGTTTATTAGACAAAATATGCGTAGAATTGTCTCAAAAGCTTATTTTCGAAATTTCGACGTTTCCTACCTCTCTGTATGAAAAAGTATCGATTAAAACATTTAAATTTTTGGTTCATCATAAAATTAGATTTTATTAACGTCAATATAAAGAATGAAGTCGTAACAATTGTAGTAAATGAG